TACTGCTCTCCTGTGTCTCCTGCCTCACCATTCCCCTGTGGTTGTCACTGGTGGTCCCAACATTGCAGAGTGAGTGAATGCCCCACCTAGTTCTGTCAGCTATTGGGAATGTCAGCCCAAGCCAGCTTGAGAGCTGCTCCACTGAGATCCATAGGCAGTGGCATTTGTCAGGTTGCACCAGCTTGACCACAGCCCTACCCACACCTGTGGGTGGCACTGATTTTCTGCCCACATTGGCTTAGCAGCTGCCCTGCTCAAATCCACAGATGGCAGAATTTGTTGTCCCATGTGGCTTGAGTGTAGTCGTTCTCAGGCCCTCCAGTAGTGGCAATTGACAACCTCAACCAGCTTGATGGCCAACCACTCAGATCTACAGATGGCAGCATTTGTTGGCTGTGGGCCAGCTTGAGCACAGCTCCACCTGTGCCTGTAGGGGTGATGACTATCAGCCACTCTGGCTTGAGAGCTGCCCTGTTCAGATCCTCTGCCTACAGCGTTTGTGAGCAGGAAGCTGGCTTAGGCCCAGCCCACCCACATCGACAGGGAGCAGTGATTATCAGACTGCACAGGGTCCCCCACTTGCAGTGGGGGGCATGTGGCACCTGCCCACAGGACTCAGAACAGTGCCTGGCCTCCCTGCTCCCAATCCATCCCACAGACTGGCAGGGGCGATAAGGAGGCAGCAGCAATGAAACTGACACCTGGGTAAAGGCAGCACTCCGGGTCTAGGGTTTTAAAATGGCACCAGCCACAGCACCCAGGGTTTACAAGCCAGTGGGCCACTGCTGTGCCCTCTCTCCAGAGCAATGCCTCTGCAGTCTCCAGATAGCTCCCTATGTCAGTCCTGTGGTCTTCTGCAGTGCTGGGTCCCTCCCACAGGTTGGATAGCAATGATTGTGGGGGAGTGTGGAGCCCCGGGATTCTTCCCTCTGTGCTTTCCCCACATGTGTGCTCATCTTCCCTGTGTACCTCCAAACCACAGCACAGGTCACCCATCTTCTCCTTCTTCATTTTGGGTGCCTGCTGTCACCTCTCCTTTGATTCACAGTGCGATCTGGAGGTGGATACCATACTTACCACCTTCAAGCCTCTCCAGGACAGTGGCATGTGCAGGCTGCTCCTAGTCCACCATATTGGCCCCAAGCCTGAAAGGTTTTTATTTTGATGTACTCCAATTTATCTACTTTTTCTTCTGTTGTCTGCACTTTTGGTGTCCTAACAAAGAAACCATTGCCAAATCCAATATTATGAAGTTTTTGCCCTATGTTCCTCTTGGGCTTTTGTAGTTTTAGGTCTTACATTTAGGTCTGTGGTCCATTTTGAGTTCATTCTTGTGTGAGGTAAGGGTCCAATGTTGGCATTACGTGGAGAATATAAAATCCTCATACATGACAGGTGGGAATATAAAATGGTGCAGCCACTTTTGGAAACACTTTGGCTGTTCTTCAAAAACTAAAGATACAATTATCATATGAAACAGCATCGACTCCTGGGTACATACCCAAAGAACTGAAGACAGAGACTCAGATACTTGCATGGAATATTCACTGTAGCAATTTTCCCAACAGGTAAAATGCGGAAACAATCCACGTGCCCAGCAGCAGATGAGGGATGAACACATCTGGCGCATTGATACAACAGAATGTTAGTTACCCATAAAAGGGAATGAAGCTCTGATGCATGCTACAACATGGATGGACCTTGGAAACAGTATACTAAGTGAAATAAGCCAGAAACAAAATGACATTTGTTGTATGATTCCACATATATGAAATATCAAGAATAGGTAACTTCACAGACACAGAAAGTAGATTAGAGTTTATCAAAGTCTGGAGGCAGGGAGGAATGGGGGGTCACTGTTTAATGGATACAGAGTTTCTTTTGGGATGATGAAAGTTTTCTGTAGGAAAATACTGGTGATGGTTGTTTAACTTTATGACTATAGTTCATTCCACTTAATTACTCACTGAAAAATGTGTTGCAAATTTTTCGTATATATTTTAAAACAATTTTTTAAAGTCTTTGGTGGAAAAATAACCCACCACGTAAAACACACTCACCCTGATCAGAGAGTCCTCATTATACTCATGGACAGACTACAGACCCCTCATAACCCTCTGTAAGAAACATCCAAACATTTAGCGACATGAGGCTGACCAGCCAACTGCAGATGCACAGAGTAAATGTATTTGCAAAGAGACTGAGAGTTAAGCTGGAGGAGCAGACCACAGCATTCCCAGGACATGAACCCTTCCAGTGAATTCTGACTTTATCTGTCCCCAATCACCATTCAGATCTTCTTGTGGGGTTCAGATAGGGAAGATAATGGTCCTGTCCCCTGGACACTCTGTGTGAGGACACAGGGCCCTCCACTAGGGCTCCACACACAGCTCTGACCATCTGGACATTGTGAGGAGGACTCTAGGAGGAGCTCAGGGACAACACAAGAGAATCAGCTATGGAGAGGAACCTGGAGCTGGAAGAGCTGGTCGATGAACCAGAACTCGGTCCCTGCAGGTCATGAGCCCAGCCCACCCTGAAGCAGGACCCCTTGCGATCCAGGCACCCCTGAGACACAGCTCCCGCCTGGGGCCTCCTTCCTGGTGACACATCAGGGTCCCTCAGGATCAAGCTGTCCAGAGAGTGCAGCACCATGGACAGCGCCAATCTCAGCTCCACGCTTCCCCGCTCACAGGGATCAGGCCTCAGAACACATGGCAGAGGCCAGTGAGGCCAGAGATTGAGAGGAGGCGGCGACCACAGGGGCAGCTGCCTGGAACAGGAGCAGGTGAGGGCACTGGCCGAGGCAGCAGCAGAGACCCAGGAGAAGGTGGTGCAGGAAGGAAAACCCAGGCGTGGGCAGGAGAGGGGAGGCGGACCCAGGCTCTGTGGGGTGCAGCGCAGTGTGGGACAGTGAGTGTGACGCCATCTCAGGCAAGGCCAGGCGCAGGTGAACAGGAGAAGAAGCACCTCCCACCTCCCCTGATCCAGGACATGGAGTGTGTGGTGCTGTTTCCCCAGAGTCTGGGTCCCCTGTTCTGGCCCCTGGGAGTGAGAAGTGAAGTTGCCCTGCCCCTCCTTCCCCTTCTGCTCCCCTGACCCTGACCTTCCTCTCCTGCCCCTCCACCTTCCACTTCCCGACCTCCGCTCAGTGCTCAGGCCCAGACATTGCTGTCCCCCCTGCCCCAGGACACGCACAGTGCAACCTCCGGCAGACACGGACAGATTGGGACTCACAGAGCTCGAACTTGATGGCGCTTTGACAACACATACGCAAGACCCCACGGGAAATGTCTACACGTGGATGCTGAACAAAACACGCCGCCTGGCCCCGCGCCTCTGCCCTCTACACTTCCCCCACGGGCCACCAGGGGGCGGCAACGTCCCAAAGCTGGAGCCTCCAGGGGCGCCGACCTCCCTCAGCGCCGCCCTCAGCCCTGCAGGGACTGACCCTCACTGGTCGCGCCTCAGCCCACGGCGCTCCTCGCTCTCCAAGCTCCCCACACCACTCTGTCACCTCCTCCGCCACCAGTGGTCGACCACCTGAAGGCCGCTCCCCCTGCAGGCGGCTCCTGCCCTGCGCACCTGCGTCCTTCCCAAAAGGGCGCTTTCCCTCACGACCTTCTCTCCAGGTCATCACCTATCTCTGCACCTACTCACTAGATGCCGCCGGCTCCGCCTGTCCTGTTCCTGCGGGATCAGGGCCCAGCCCGGGCCGACACACAAGAGGGGCTCCTTGACGGTGGAAGCAAATGGAGCAGACACAGGGCGACCTGCCCGCAGGGTGCAAAGGCAGGACACGGGCACCGGGAGGGTGTGACCACCTGAGCCCTGCTCTCTGGCAGATGTGGGACCTCCAACCCTCATGACTCGGGAGGGAGGACAGAGCTGGACAGGTGGACAGGGGTGAGGGAGACCCCTTCAGCTCCCAGAACGCAGCCCACACCCACCGCCCCTCTGAGTTGTGAGCAACTTGCCCCACACACGGGCTCTCTGGCCACTGCCTGTCCTTCCTCTGCACAGAGGGGCTTGACCAGGCTCCAAAACCCTCGAGGCCAGACCCCAGGTGAGTCAGCCCGGGGAGGCTGAGCCCATCCTGGCCGCAGAGGCAGTCAGGAGCTAGTATGGGTGTATCCAGGTCTGAGCCCCTGCTCTGCCCCACCGGCCCCCTCCTGAGTCTCTAAGAGCCTCGTTCTGCAGGGTCCCTGTGCAGCTGCCCACCCCCCTGCACCATCCATGGGAAGGCAGGGTCACCACAGGACAGTCGGCAGCACAAAGGACAGAGGCCACACAGGACGGTCAGGGAGAACTTGGAGGGGCCCTGAGTCGCAGCTCAGCCACCAGACCCCAGGTAGCCAGACAGTGCCTGAGACCTGCCCCTGGTGACCTTAGGGCCCACAGCCCCCAACTGACCAAACAACACAGGCCTCTCCTCGCAGGACGAATGAGAGCCTCACACTGCACACCTCCAGGAAGGACAGTTCCCCCTGGGACACCTGGGTCCTGGAAGCTGTGTCCAAGCTAGACCCAATGAGAGAGGGAGGGTCCCTGTCACTAGTCATCACTCAGCTTGCCGGATGAACAACCTCTGTGTCCGTGTGTATGTGTGAGTCTGCTTTGGTTGTACCTGTGTGTGTGTGTCTGTGTGTGCATCTATCTCTGTGTGCATGTGTTGTATATGTGGTGGGTAGGTTGGGGTGACAGAATCCTTGCTGAAAAAGGAAAAGGCCTCAGGAGTTTTCAGGGGCGTGAAATGTGGACAGAGGGAAAGGGGAAGGATGGACAAGGGAAGCAGGACTGAGAGGGGAGGGGTCAAGGAGGCTTCCTGGGCTCAGACCCCGCCCCAGCCCCATGACCCTGGGAAGTGCTCCTGCCCCAGGAGGAGGCTCAGCACAGAGGGAGGAAGGACAGCAGAGCTGACAGGTCAGACCAGTCGTGCTCAAAAGCATTCCCGGAGCCAAAGCTCTTCTGCACAGAGGACAGAACAGGCGGCAGAGACCATGGAGCCCCCCACAGCCCCCCCGCATAGAGGACGCATCCCCTGGCAGGGGCTCCTGCTCACAGGTGAGAGGGACAATGCCCTGGGGATCGGTGCAAGGAGGGAGCACAGACACTGGCTGGGTCTCCTGGGGAGGACAGTGCTCTGAGAGGGACAGAGGACTTCAATTGGAGCCTGAAGAGGGGAGGGGACACCAAAGCGGAAGAGGAGGTCACAACCTGAAGGTCACATTGAACTGGAATTGGAAAGGTGCAGAACAGTCTCAATTGCTCTGTGTTCTCCAGGTTAATCATCAATAGTCACTACATTTTGAAAATGGTAATAACAATATCAGGGTGACACTTCAAGTAAACATAACTAGGGGCACTAAACATGGCCCTTTCCCCCAAAGTCAGATACTATCTTATGTTCACTGTAAAATAAACACCAGGACGTGGAGGGCCCTGGGAACGCTCATTCACTCACCCGCAGGTGTCCGCAGCCTGTCCCAGGCTCTGGGGCACAACAAAGGTCAGACACGTCCCTGTCCTCACAGAGCTCACGTCCTAGCGGGAGGAAGACAGACAAGCAGAGAGATCTCGAATGTGAGGTCAACTGTGGACAAGAGCCACAGAGGGAACAGGCAGGGAAAGGTCAGGAAGGGAAGACCCAGAGTCCCTAGAGGAGGTGGCCAGGGAAGGTCCCTCCCAAAGATGCTCCTGAGTGTGAGCAGGGATCTGAGGGCAGTGGGGGGAGAGCCCTGCAGACACCTGGGAAGAGGACTCCAAGCAGGGGCATGGCCAGTCCAGAGGCGCTGGAGTGATGGTGGTCACACTGCTGACCTTGACCCAGAGCACACACACACACACTCACACACACACACACACACTCACACACTCACACACACACACACGCATACACTCACACACTCACACACACACACACTCCTCAAGGCTGAGGGTGAAGAGACCTGCTCAGGATCCAGGGACCATCTTTCAATCCCAATTCCAAGGTCCCAATACGGATTGATTCTCTCTCCTTCCTCCTAGTCTCACTTTTAACCTCCTGGAACCCACCCGCCACTGGCCAAGTCACTATGGAATCTGTGCCGCTCAGTGTTGTGGAGGGGAAGGACGTTCTTCTACTCGTCCACAATATGCCGCAGGATACTATAGGCTACAGGTGGTACAAAGGGCATCAGACAGACCGCAACCGCACAATACTAACGTATATGATAAATGCTACAACTATTTTGATTGGGCCTGAACACACTGATCGAGAGACAATATACTCCAATGGATCCCTGCTGTTCCACAATGTCACCCAGGAGGACAAAGGATACTACACCCTACACCTTATAAGCAAAAATCCTCTAAGTAAAGCAGTAACTGGACAGTTCCACGTGTACCGTGAGTGATCCCTCTGTGACCTTTGGGTGTTGGGGGGTTAGTTCTACTTCACACACACGAGGTGGTCAGGCCTGGACTGTCCCTACTTCCCCCTCTGCATTATGTCCCATGTTGGGGTTTGAGCTCTTAGTACAGGAGACACAGTGAGGGACAAATGTCAGAATATCAGATGCTTTTCCTACGTCCAGACCCTGTAGACACTGCCTGCAGAGGAAGGACCAGTGTGACAGGTAACTCGGCAGGGGCAGATCAGTCTCAGACCAGCCCCTGTGCCCTTCACATGAACATGACCTTACAAAAACCCTGTAGGATACAGTCAGGGCCTGGCCTGAGGGGCCCCCTGGGATCCTCACAAAGAAGCTCACACCCAGGGCTCCTGAGTCCAGGTGACCCTGGGGAGCCCGTGGTCAAGGTTGGGTTCGGCCACCTGAGCAGGGCTGACTGGGAGCCACGATCTCCCAGCTGCCTGAGGACTGAGGTTCCAGAAGCTGGTCACCAGCCAGGGCCTGACCCCACAGCCTCATCTGGGCAATCACCATGCCCAGAAAGTCACCTGAGACTCAGTGTGGGTGGCATAGACGGACACTTTCCTCAGGCCACCAGCTCACTGCCCTGGGGGACTTAAGAGACTTCAGGGAAGCCACTGTCTCCAGGGGGAGGGACAGAGGACAGAGGACGCTCCTGGAAGCCGCCTGTCCACCAGGGATCAGGCCGCGGGACTCTCATGGATGCAGCAACAATCGATGCTGTTTATTTGGGCAGCTCCTCTGTACGAAGCTGTAGGTCAGCTAATCGTGAATATTTTAAGGTTAATTGACAGACAAGATAAGGCAGAGACCGTTTACCATGTATCCTATTTTACTGAGGGGAAACTGAGGCACGGCGCAACAGAGTCACTGAATTAGAGTCACACAAAACATGACTGAAGATCAGAGTCACAGGAGGCCTGTCTGCAGCGCAGCCTCAACCTCCCTCAACTCCAGGGGCCTTATTAGGCATCCGGGGACCCCAACGCCAGTGCTGGGTTCAGCTGCATCGGCAGCTCAGAGGGGGAGATTCCGGTCTGGGGAGTGAGGAGCAAATGGAGAATTAGTCAGTTTCACTCTAGAACTGAACCACCTGCCTCAACAAGCAGAGTCAGTGTCAGGAATGCCCAGGCCTCCCCCTCAGCCACACCCCCCTCCCTGGACTCTAAACCAGGTGTTTCCTGGTGTGTCCGTGTCACTCCCACAGAGGGGACAGGAAAGGATGTGGCTTTCTCTCTCCCCACTCACACCCTGCACCAGCACAGGGTCCGACATGTGACATACTCTCAGTAGTTCTCTGATGAAGGAGGGAGGGAAGGAATGAATGAATGAGTGAATGATCCATGACCTCTTCGGAGACTGGATCCTGGACGCAGAACACTAGGAGGTTCTTACCGCGCCTGTTCCCTGTCCCTCAGGGGCTGAGACCCGAGCTCCATCCCTCTGACCCCTGCCCCAAAGCCACCAGGAACCCGTCTCATGTGACTTTGGGGCTTCCCAGCTGTGGGGGGTTTCAGGGCTCCCTGGTCCTGCTCCTGGGGTCTCTGAAGTCCCCGCAACCTCCGTGCTCACTGCCATGGCATGTCTGGCTCTTTCTGCTCCTCCATATCCCTCATCTTCCTCCCCCTTCATTCCAGCCTGCGTCTACCCTGCACAGCTTCCTCCACCCTTAAGCCTTCCCCTGACACTCCCACTGACAACAGCTGCCTGTCCTCGTCCCTTCCTGCTAACCCTGTGGACAGACCCACCTCCCAGGCAATAGTAAAGGCACAGAAATCAGTCAGAGCAGCTGCCCCTGCCAGGCTCCATCACAAGCCAATGTCCCCAGGTCACCAGGAGAACAACCATCCACTATGTCCCCACCCAAGGCTCTTTCCTTCTGTGAGGCCAAAAAGTGGGACAGGCCGGGCGACAGGCCATGGGACAAAGATGGGTGACCCTCCATCTACTCTCAAGCCTGAATCACCAGGGGTCAGAGGAGAAAGACAGGTCTGCAACCCCCAAAGCCACAGGCTCATTTCACTGACTGATTCCTGACTGCAGCCTCGTCCTGGCGTGGGGCTCATGTTCTCCATGGTTCCTCGGACCTTCCCAGGTGGAGCTGGCTAGACCGGTGCTGTCTGAGGGGTGACAGCCTGCTCCACAGGCACCTGTGTCCCGCATGATGACACCGATACCAGAAGGTGGGGTCCCTGAGATGGTGAGATGCACGAGCCAGGGTGTCTCACTTAGAATCTGCTCAGTTTGCACAAATTTGACCAAACCCTAGTTGTGTTTCCTGAGGTCAAGAGAAAGGAAGAAAGCATTTCACATGCCTTGTGGGGCTCCTCCACATTTTGCCTAACTCTCCATGGGAATTAGGGACGTGGAGGTCTTTCTAAATTTATTACCATCACACACATCACTTCTTCTAATTTGGTATCTTTCTCTTCTTATTACTGTTGAGACACCTCAGACTTCCCTCTGACCAGTTCTGTCCTCCTAACGGCACTCGCCTGTCTCTCTCTACCCAGGGAGTCACTGATTCCAAACCGACTTCAGCATCTTCCTTTGAGCGTAATGTGACCTGCTGGACTTCAGAGCTTGGTCCAAGACCTCGTCGTGCTCTCTACAGAAATATTCCTCTCAGCAATTGGTCTTAGATCCTGAGTATTAATAATACTTTTCAGACATGGAAGAAACTTAACGTCTCCTATTCCTATCCCGTCTGCCCATCATACGAGGTCCATGAGTCCAGATTCCAGCACGTTCGTGCTCCCCCCTTTGCACCAGTCAGGTCTGCGTTTGCAAACGTCCACATGTGTTTCCCGAATGATCCACACACAGTCCTCACCTGCCCTCTGCAGGGGGACAAGGGACATTAAGGACCAAGGGCAGGGAACATGGTTCTGCTCCAAACCACCAGCTCCTACCTGTTCCCTCACTCTTTTCTAGATCATTCCTTGGACTCCACTCTACCTTTTAGGAGTCACTGGCTCATGTGATTCGCCATCAAGCAGCTGGGAAAAACTGCCCCCACCTGTGGCCCCATAGCCTGACTGCTGAGCTGATCTCCAGGCTGCCTCCTGCTCTCCCTGAGTTATTTGTGCTCAAACACCCAGTCCCAGGCCAGGCTGCCCAGTACCCTCAGGGTCTAAGGACAATGGGAAGTCCCATCAGTACCCGTCTCTGGGATATCTGAGGACAGCCTCAGAGAAACACACCTAGGGGGCCAAAGTAGGACTACGAAGCTAGAAGGGACCTAACGTCCGCACATTCCAGGTGAGAACCACAAGGTCACTCAGGCAGTCAGGGAAGGACCAGGAGAGGCGCCAGGGTCGGGGTGGAGGGGCACTCTGGCTCCAGGTCCTGTGTCTGTCCACCACCCCATGCTGCTGCTCAACTGAGAAAGTCTGTGCATCTCCCAGACACAGAGCAGGGGGCCTCACGTTCTCTGAGCCCTCAGATCGTCATGCATCTGTCTTGTGACACACGCACCTGCCTTGTCTTTTAATCACTCAGGTTGGCTGAGAGGTGAGATGCCAAGATGACTTTAGGGGAATCAAAGGTACCACACAGGGCAACCTTCTCTCTGTTATCTGCGCAGCCGAGTTACCCAAACCCTCCGTCGCAAGCAACAACTCCAGCCCCGTGGAGGATGAGGACTCTGTAGCCTTAACCTGCGAACCTGAGACTCAGGACACAACCTACCTGTGGTGGATAAACGGTCACAGGCTCAAAGACAATGACAGGGTAGTGATGTCCCCGGACAACAGGACCCTCATTTTACTCAATATCTCAAGGAATGACACAGGACCCTATCAGTGTGGAAACTGGAACCCAGTGAGTGCCAGCTGCAGTGACCCAGTCACCCTGAATGTGCTCTGTGAGTATTTTCTGTTCCTCCACAGCCCAGGTTGCAGCCCAAATTCACACAGCCAGAGACCAGGCCATTCAGTTCCTCTCGGGTCCAAGTACACAGACCCTCACCCCTCGACACCCAGGCTGGCCAAGACTTCCTGCCCCAGGCAAACCCGGGCAGGCCCAGCCTTGACCAAGAATAGGAGGGAGGGGCTGCTCCTGTCTTGAGATGCTCATGGTCAACAACCTGTGACAAGAGAAACAGGTCAGTGTCTCAATGTCTCAGACACGGGTTATAGTTAGGAGTTTGGGTTTTTTGTTTGTTTGTTTGTTTTTAGGAGACAGGGTCTCACTCTGTTGCCCAGGCAGAAGTGCACTGGTGGGATCATAGCTCATTGTAACCTCAAACTCCTGGGCTCTAGCAATCCTGCTGCCTCAGGAGCAGGTGATTGTGAATATTTTAAGGTTAATTGACAGACAAGGTAAGCCAGAGACCATTTACCATGTATCCTATTTTACTGAGGGGAAACTGAGGCACGGGGCAACAGAGTCATTGATTTAGAGTCACACAAAACATGACTGAAGATCAGAGTCACAGGAGGCCTGTCTGCAGCTAGAACTACAGGGACACACATCCAAGTCCAGTTAGTATTTTTAGTTTCCTGTAGATACCAGTGTCACTATCTTGCCCAGGCTGGTCTTGAACTCCTGGCCTCCCACCTTAGCCTCCAAAAGCACTAGGATTACAGGTGTGACCTGCGACACCTGGCCAGGTTGTAACTTTTTAAACAAGATTGTGTAGCCCTTCTACAAACCAGAAGCTTCCCCTTTCCTCTGATGACATCACATGTGGCTTTATTCTTTGTCCAGATGGCCCCGACGTCCCCACTATTTCCCCCTCAGACTCCTATTACCAACCAGGTGCAAACCTCAACCTCTCCTGCCACGCGGCCTCTAACCCTGCTGCACAGTATTCCTGGCTTATCAATGGGAGTCTCCAGCAAACCACACAAGAGCTCTTCATCCCCAACGTCACTGTGAATAACAGCGGATCCTATGCCTGTGTGGCCCACAACTCTGCCACTGGCCACAAAAGGACCACAGTGAAGACTATCACAGTCAAGATTCTCGTACTTTCCAGTAAGTGAATCCCTGGAGGGTTGGCATTAAGTTTTGGCATGGACTATGCGTGGTGTTCAGAGAAGGGCCATAAAGAAGTTTTCTTTCCCAGCCTGAGTCCTGGGCACAAACAAGTCCCAGCTTCCCCCTGAGCCCTCCCACTCGTCTCTGCAGACTGTCTCCTCCCCTGGCTTCTCTGATTTCGCACACCTGACCTTGGGTCCAGCCTGGAGTGTGGGGAGGGGGTTCCCTCAGCCCTAGAGAGCCCCATCTAGTGGGAGGGGCTTCACCGAGAGGAGAGGAGGAAGGGTCCTCAAGGACAAGTGGCTTCTCTCTGTCACCAACATGTCCCTTTCTGCCACATTTTTCTTTTCTTTTACCTACCCCATGAGCTCCAAGGAACATAGGAGGTTTTAACATAGGCTCACATTATTTTTCCCCAAATGAGAAGATAAAACCCCCCTGGAGGAGGGATGAGCATCTCGGAGCTCTGCTCCCTGCTCTGCTTCCGGCTCGCCTGGTTACCAGCTGTGCTGTGACTTCATCCAGGTGGACAGGTGTTTACAGAGAGGGTGAAGGTACCAGCCACTATATAGTATATATAGTGGTGAAATATACATAACATGATTTACCATTGTAACCATTTTAAGTGGAAGGTTCTGTGCTATTAAGTACATTTATAGTGTTGAACAACTGTCACCGCTATCCATTTCCAGAACTTTTTCATCTTACCATATTGAACCTCTGTGCCCACTAAAGGTAATTCTCTACTCCATGTCCCCAGAGTCCCAGGCCCACCATTCTATTAATACTTCCTTTCTATATGTAGTCAACTATTCCAAGTACCTCATAAAGGGAATCATACAGTATTTGTCCTTTCGAGTCAGTCTTATTTTGCTTAGCATGACGTCTTCAAAGTTCAACCCTGTTGTAGTGCGTATCACAATGGTGTTCCTTGTTCAGACTGCATAACATTCCATTGTATGGATATACCTCATTTTGCCTATCCACTTATCTTTTGATGGACTTTTGAGTTGTTTGCACAATTTGTCTATTGTGAGTACATGGGTGTGAACATGGGTGTGGAAATATCTGTTTGAATTCTTACTTTTGATTCTTTTGAGTATTTGGCCAGAACTGGAATTGCTGGATCACATGGTAATTCTTTGTTTAATTTTTTGAGGAATTGCCATACCATTTTCCACAGTGGCTGGACTATTTCACATTCCCACTGGCAATGCCTAAGAGTTCCAATTTTCCCACCTCCTCGAAAACACTTGTTTGAGTTTTCTTTTTTTTATCGAAGCCATCCTAAAGTATGTGAAGTCATATATCATTGTGATTTTGATTTGCATCTCCCTAAGTGTTAGCGGTGTTGAGCATCTTTTCATGTTTTTATTGGCCATTTGTATATCTTCCTTGAAGAAATGTCTGTTTTACTCCTTTGCCCATTTTTAATTGGATTTTTGTTGTTATTGAGCTCTAATAGTTCTTTATATATTCTGGAAATTTCTCCCCTATCAGATATATGATTTGCAAATATTTTTCCCATTCCTTGGGTTGCCTGTTCACTTTGTTGCTAGTGTCCTTTCACATACAAACATTTCTAGTCTTCATGAAGTGCAATTTATCTACTTTTTCTTTCACTGCCTATGCTTTTGGTGTCATAGCCAAGGAATCACTGCCAAATCCAATGTCATGAAGCTTTTACCCGATGTTTTCTTCTAAGAGTTGTATAGTTTTAGCTCTTACATTTAAGTCTTTGATCCTTCTTGAGTTTATTTTTGTATTGCTGTAGGTAAAGATTCAACTCATCTTTTTGCATGTATACTCAGTTTTCCCAAAATCACTTGTTGAAAAGACTATCCTTTCCCCATTGAATAGTCTTGGTACCCTTGTCAAAAATCATTTAGCCATACATACTAGCATTTACTTCTGGGCTTTCTATTCTTTTCCATTGGTTTCTATGTCTGTACCAAACTGTATTGATTTGGCTTTGTAGTAAATTTTGAAATCAGGGTTGAGTCCTCCAGCTATACTCTCCCTTTTCAAGACTGTTTTGATTACTAGAGTCCCTGAGATTCCATATGAATTTTAGTATACATTTTTCTATTTCTGCAAAAAGTGTCCCTGGGATTCTGACAGGGATTGCATTGACTCTGTAGATCACTTTGGGTGGTATTGTCATCCAAATAATAAGTCTTCCAACCCATGAAAATAAAATATCTTTCTATCCATTTACATCATCTTTAATTGCTTTTGGCAATGTTTTCCAGTTTTCAGGGTACAATTCCTTCACCTCCTAAGTACTTCATCATTTTTTATACTAATGGGAATTCAACTATTTTCTTAATTTCATTTCAGATTGCTTAGTGTTAATGTACAGAAATACAACTCATTTTTGGATGTTGATTTTGTATCCTGTAGTTCATTGATTATGTTTATTAGTTCTAACAGTTTTTGAAAAAATTGTTGGGGTTTTCTACATAAATATTATGACATCTGCAAACAGAGATAATTTTACTTCTTGTTTCCAATTTGGATGTCCTTGTTTTTTCTTGCCTAATTCTCCAGCTAAGGATTCCAATACTATGTTGAATAGAAGTGTCAAAAGCAGGCATCCTTGTCTTGTTCCTATTGTAAAGGAAAAGCTGTCAGTCTTTCACCATTGAGTATATGATGTTGGCTTCGGACTTTTCATATGTTGCCTTCATTATGTTGAGGTAGTTTCCTTCTATTTATACTTAGTGTGTTTTTACTAGGAAAGAATGTTGAATTTTGTCAAATGCTCTCATTGATGTAATCTCCTTGCTAGTTATAGATTTATTCAGATTTTCTGTTTCTTCATGATTCCATCATGGTAGAGTTTGTGTTTCTAGGAATTTCTTCATTTCATCTAGTTATCCCATTTGATGGCAAAAATTATTTCTAGTACTCTAGTAATCTTTATTATTTCTGTAGATTTCATAGTGTCTCCACTTTCGTTTCTGATTTTTGTGATCTGAATCTTCTCTATTTTTTTCCTTAGTCAATCTAGTTAAAGACTGTCAATCTTTTTTGAAGAACCAAGTTTTCGTTTTCTCGATTTTCTCTATCGTTTTTCTCTTTTCCACTCTAATCTTTATTATTTCCTTCATCTGCTATCTTTGAGTTTAGTTTGCACTTTTTTGCGGGGGGTTGGGGGACAGATTCTCACTCTGTCACCCTGGGTAGAGTGCAGTGGCGTCATCATAGCTCATTGCAACCTCAAACTCCTGACCTCAAGTCATCCTCCTGCCTCAGCCTTCCTAGTGGCTGTGACTACAGGCACAAGCCACAACACCCCCCTAATTTTTCTGTTTTTAGTAGAAATGGGGTCTCACTCTCATTGAGGCTTGTATAGAACTCCTGAACACAAGTAATCCTCCCACCTCCGTCTCCCAGAGTGCTGGGATTGCAAGTGTGAGCCACGGCACTCAGCCTGTTCTTATTCTCTCACCTTACATTGTAAAGCTAGCTGTTGGTTTGGATCTTTCTTCTTTTTAAATGTGTTTACAGTTATAAATTTCTTTCGCAAGAGTCTTAACTTCTCTGAGCGTCAAATTCCTCAACCAAAAATTGCAATAAGAGTACCTGTTTCATAGTATTGTTTTAAAGATTTAAACATTAATAGTCAATTAAACCTTTAGCAAAATGCCACACAGATGAAACGTTCTATAAATGTTAGCTGCTATTATTACTGCTATTATCATTAGCCTCGAAGTCAGGTAGTCCTGGAGTCAAATCCCAGATCCACCTTTCACCAGCCATATGACTTTGGGTAAGTTTTTTCACCACTGTAAGCCTTTGTTTTTTTCATTTGCAAAATGGAAATAATATATCTCTAACACAGTTATTGCACATGAGATAATGAGATACACATAGTGGGCTTAGCATAGGGCCTAGCACACAGTAAGTACCCCACAACAGTAGCTAACATTAGCATTAATTGTCAGCCTTGAATTGACGGCTAAAGGCTAAGCCCCAAATTGTTATAACAAAAATAAAGAAAAAACAGAAACAAAACATATTTTCTGTGTGTGTGTGTGTGTGTGTGTGTGTGTGTGTATGAATGGGGGGACATTACAGAAAAAAAAGCCACTGGGACATGGTTACTGACTAAATATGGAAGGGGAAAAAAGGAGCTAAGTGCAGTCTCAAGCCTGGTACATTCATTTTCATCCACTGAGATAGAGACATAGTGGGATTACACACACACAGAGGATAATTTATTGGGGAAAATGCCTGTGAGGGAGGGTGTGGCAGGAGTGGGAGGAGCCTGGGAGAGCCCTCAGACCACACTGCAGATCTGATGCCTGTGAGGGAGAAAGAGAAGGGAGTTTTAGGCTGCAGTGCAGTTCTAAGGGAGTTTTTGGAAGGCTGATGGGGAGTCCTCAAGCCAGTCACCCATCAGAGGAAACCAGAGCCTGGCAGAACTGGGCTTGCCTTCATACCCGTGCTGGGAGCCCCTGGGAAGTGAGGTCTCTGTGCAAAGGAGGTGGTGAACCCAGAGGATACTGGCCTGGCCCTTCTGTCAACTCAGTCCCTGTGATAGAGACCTGACAGACTCGTATTCATGGCTCTTGGATCCTGAGAAAAAGATGCAACCACAAAGAGATGAAAAGTTGTAATAACATACAAAAATTGCAATGAACCTTTCTCATATTTCAAAGCCTTCAAAAATATCTGAGTGCAGAAATTGCACTCAATCTGAGTGCAATTGAGTGGCAATCTGAGATTGAACACAGGCTGATCACCAACCTAGATACACAGTGAGAGGGAAAAATAATTGCAAGGATATGGTTGCCTAATCACCTCCCAGGACCATTTCCACACACACACAAAAGTATTGCTTGAAGGAACAAGTAGAGACTACTTCATGCTGAGAGTTGTTTTCCGGGGCACCCCCACTGTAAAACAATTCCACCTTCATTCCTCCTCTTTTCTTCCCATGCAGGTGGTTCATCACAAGGAAATTCTCCGGGCCTGTCCGTTGGAGCCATTGTTGGCATTGTGATTGGAGTCCTGGCTGTGGTGGCACTGATAGCAGCCCTGGTGTATTTTCTGTACTTCAAAAAGAATGGTGGGTATGATGGCCTTTTCTCTGTTAGGTTTCTGCCAGGCTAACTGCCATGCTCTGGAGAGGGAAAGAAGTTCTTCACCTATCCCTGGGCCTGGAGCTCCTCCTCCTCCCCCTGAAATCCTGTTTCTCAGCACTAATTCCTGCAGGTCTCTTCTTCCCTGGTCTTCATGGTCCCTGAACCCCACCTTCTCCTGGACATGGTTATTCCCCAGGCCCTGCTCATTTGTTCCCCACATTCAGCACATTGTCAGAGCCTCTCAATGCTTTTGTAACATCTCCCACTTATGTCGTTCTCTCCACTTCCATAAATCTAACTAACCCAGGCCCTCAACAACTGCTCCCAGCACTGCATGACTTCCTGTCTCCCGTCTCTCTGAATCCTCCTTGCACACCGCTGCCTCACTACCTTCTTGAAAACTAGCTCACTCTCCTACTCAAGAGTCCGAAGTGGCCTACTCTGGCCTATTCGATAGGTTCAAATTTCTTCTCTTTACTTATCCTTCTTACTTCTTTACCACTATGCCCTAGTATAAGCCTCCATCCTACTTAGATCTGTCTCCCTACGAGCCCTGCCCCTCCACCCCATACGCACATATAATTCTTAGTCCTAAGGCTATGCCTAAAACCATTCCAAAAAGGGCAATCTCCCCTCCACTGTCTGCAGTGGGAAGTTACCCACACCTTCATCACAACAAACAACACTGATCTCAGGGAGGACAAAGACTGTAGCATAAACTGTGACCCTGACACTCAGGATGCAACCTACCTGTGGCTGAGAATCTTTTGCTGATGAGTAATTCCTGTGTTTTTCATTTACAAACTTTATATCCCTCAGGGAAAATAATGCCTAAGGCCAAAGAGAATATCCGAGAAGTTCCTATTCATAATGTTCAAATAATTATCATACAAAAATAGAAAAGGATAAATACCACAAGAAGACAGAGAAATCTATTGGGAAACATGGCTACACATGTGAATCACTGGGAAACTTTTTAAAAGATCAACTGATGCTCAGGCCCAATCCACAATTTCCAATTTAAGTGGTCTGCAGTGGGACCCAGGCATTCATAATTTTTAAACCTTCCCACATGCTACTAACATGTAGCCAAGATGGAGACCCCACTATTATATGTAGGACCAGGGCCTAAATCAGTGGTTTTTAGCCAGGAGTATGCATCAGAATTACCTAGGGAACTTTTTCAACATACAGAAGCCTATACTTTGATGGACCTATTCATTAATGGGCTCCACCCTGAACTCAATAATCCAATTAAGAAACACTAAATTGAGAAGCCACCTTATTTGATATGTTAAATTATATGGGAAGAATTGTCAAATATGTGATGCTAAACCTTCTCTAAGTTATCATATTTATGGCTATGTTATTGATGTGAGGGTTCCAAAAGTTATATGAGATTCCCAGACATCTAATATGTTATCAGTCATAATGTCATACGCCACAGAAATAATCAGATTTCCTTGTGGGTTGTGTCATTATCGTAATGAACTTGCATCAGATTTTTAACCACAGACATCTTAAGTCTTTGTCATTCACAGATTGTTGCTTTGATTCTTTTCTAAAAGCATTTGCAATCAGCTACAGTCCAAAATTACTTCTTCTTCAAGGAGATTTATGGAAAAGACTCTGACAAGTGTTCTTGAATACAGGTTTCTGATAACTTTAAGATTACATCATTGGACTATGCAGGAATTTCCAAAACTTTAATGAAGAGACTGATAGCTTCCTGAAGCTGCTAACCAAGATCAAGCAGGGAAAAAAGTTAACTACATGGGACTAAATGAACTAATGAGCACATTGTTTCTGTGACTTTTTATTTAGAATTTTGCTCATTCTTTCAATGTTTCATTTTCCAGATTTAAGGAAACCTTTTTTCTTTTAAGCTATTTACACCTTACAGCTATTTGGTAAAGTACACTTCGGGAACAAATATAGAATCATTTCCTTTTTTTCCCTACCTGGTCCCTCCCCCAAATTGGGAAACTATTCAGAAGTATTAATATTTTTATGGTAATAGAACTATTTGCATACAAATAGAACTATTTGCATACAAATCTGCTCTCTTTGTAAAAGGATACATTTGAAAATATTGGTTAAGTTACCAAGGCTTTCACTGGGATGCCCTGCTTCAGAATGTACCTGGAATGCACCCATAGGTACAGCATGGAAAGTCTGAAGTCTGCCTTGGTTTGGCTTCCTAGTCTTGAGACTTTTTCAAAAGTTTAATCTGAGATTTCTTATCAAAAGTTCCAGAAAAATGAATTTAAAAAGAACCTATGTAGTCAATTGCTATTCTTGCTGCACTTATGTAAATAACCAGGCGAACTGTGATGAGACTAAACCTATTTTGCAAACAAATTAGTCTTATTCTGATTACCTCTGGTAGATACATGGATAACCACGGAGAGAAACATTATGTTTCAAAATAAAAATTACAGTACACCTGTTATTCGACTGTAGCTCTGTTCATTGTTTTCGAGGTTTTATTATCTACCTGTAGACTGGATCCCGAACTCTTCTAGTTCCTCCAATCCAATTTTCTCCCATGGAATCAGTAAGAACAAGAACTTCTGTGTTCCTGAAGCCCTAGAAGTCAGAGCTGGACAGCTCAGTGTAAATTTCCAGGCACAACTTTTGTGCCTAGTGTGCGGGCCACTCAGAAAGTTCACAGAATGTCCAATACCATAACTAGAGATACGCAAACTGCAAACCAGGACAAGAAGCCAATGACCACACTGTGGACACAAGATTCCCCATGATAATGATACTCTCACCTCTCTTAATGTTTCCCTGCCCATGCCCACCCATTTCATTTGCCAAGATAATGCTGTAATTACAATTTTACAGTCAGTAGCTTGTGCAGGTCAGTTGAGGGAGTGTTGGATCTGTCAAGTCATCATGTCAAACCCGAATCTTTACATGACCTAAGGGATCCTCTATTCCATTCAGCAAGCAACGTTAGCAGCATCCCTAACACAAGTGCTTATTCAAATTGAACTAGGGGTCCCTTTTGCAGTCAGACTTCTAGACCATTTGTTCTCCTTGTTTTAACTCAACCCAGCCATGC